TTTCTTTTGACAAGTGGCTCCTGATTGTGCCCAGCCAGACTGCGGCAACACCCTGTCTCTAAAAAGGGCTGTGGCTGTGGATCAGTGGTTAAGCACCCCTCTGTTTAATCCCTGGTACAAAAAAGAAAGAAAAATTGGGGGGGTTGGGAGTATAGCTGAGTGGCAAAACACTTGCCTATTACATGGGAGGCCCTGAGTTTAATGATTCCCAGCATTGCAAAAAAGAAAAGAAAAAAAAAGGTACATGATTATATGCAGACTACTTATTCTCTGGGAAGATTTCTCATCTATAAGTGGGAATATATTGTTTTACTTGTGTGACAGCACAGCAAAACTCCCATGTGAGTTCTTTACCACTATATATTCAGTGTCTTAGAGAAAGCAGGTACTCAAAAAAAGATTAACTGAACAAATTCATACACACTCACTTTAAATAAAAACATATTAGTGATTGTTGATCCAAGAAAATAAACTTAGTAGCACTAACCTAACGCCAGAGGGTGGTGTGTATGGAGTGAAAAGAGTGATGGAGATCAGTATTGATTAACGGAAGACTGAATTTCACCCAGATTTTTCATAGTCTGTTCCTATAAAAGTATTTTTCTTATGAAATGCCATAACACTTCACTTTCAAACAATACAGTATAATATATACTTTGAAACAACATAGTAATATTTCAATAAACAAAATAACTGTACAAAAAATAGACAAATTAACTTTATTAAGTTACTACTTCAGTTCTTATATTGATTTGTTAAAAAAATATGTTTGGAATATATTACTGAAAGTGAATACATGCAATAAATAGAAAACAGGGATGCAAAGTGCTGGAGATATACCAACCAACTTATTTTCATCTGTTGCTTACTGTGGTAGACAGAATTTAACACGTGATTAGCATTATTGAAAGAGTAGACATAGAACCTGGGAGAAGGCTGCAAACTACTACTCAGTATCATAAAGCTCTGGACCACTTACCCAAACAAAACAAAACATAACAAAACAACAAAACCAAACAAACACCTTCAGTGTTTACCTGGGAGCTAATCTCACAATAACAGTGAATTATCAACTACTACCCATATGAACAATCAAAGTTTTTCACTTTGAATATATGATGATTACTCAAATGGTCACATGGCAGGCCCTATAGCAATAAGTTACAAACACTCTGAATATAATAACTTAACCATGATATGTTTAATATATATTGAAGTGCTCCACAGAGGGAGTATTCTCAACTAATCTCTTTCAAGTAAGGTGATAATTAAAAGAATTAAATTTACACTTTCAACTTCCATACAGAAGAGTAATGTCAATATTCTGGCAATAATGATGACATCCCATTATTATAAATGCAGAACCTGCTGATGTACACATTACTTTAAATTATACTTGATTGAAAAAATAATTCTATGTACAAGTGGGTCCATATTCTATGTGCAAATTTTCAATGGAGCAGGTTTATAATCAAAGTTGGGTTTAGCAAATGCTTTCTGACTTCTGAAAATAAACCATGAAAGCACTTCCTAAAAGTGAACTAAAATTAAAAGTAGGTGACACCAGTTCTTTTTTTTTCTTTATGTGTGGTGAACTTCATGAAACATTAATTCCCGAGGTATACTTGTTTCTGGACCATACAGCTTACATGCTCTTCTTTCAAAGGCAGCTACCATCTGTTTTACAACTTCATCAAAAAACAGAGTAGCAAGCTGCGAGTGTAGAAGCGAGCGGAATTCAAAAGAAATCTGTAAGAAAATGTTAAAAATTGTTTTAGAAAAATCTTTCTTCTGCTAAATTTCCACTGAGGACAAGGTGTTTACACTGTGACCTGGGGATCTAAGGTAAAGTTGTGTAGGTATATAGAGGTGAGACTTTACCATCAGAAGAGGGAATCATCTTTATTGCATTATGCACAACTATTGGCAAAATAAATTTAACAAGGCCAATGCATCTCATTTCAGAGCTAACAGCCTACATCTGAATAAGCTGGAGAAGACTAGAAAAAGTTTTACTGTTCTTATTAATGTATACTTCTTGGATATATCCTACTTCACAAAAGGAATAAGGAAGGGAAGTGACTGTTCTCATAGGCATCATTCCAATGATAAATAGCAGCAAGGAGATCACCTGTGTGCACACATGCATGACTCAACCACAAAGCAGAAAGGGCAGGTGATTGACTCTTATACGAGTAGCCAGAATTCAATGCAAATGTTTGTTTGCTTTTGAATAAATTTTGTTTTAGTTGTAGATGACACAATACCTTTATTTTATTTATTTATTTTATGTGGTGCTGAGGATCAAATCCAATGCCTAACATGTGCTAAGCATCACTCTATCACTGAGTCACAACCCCAGCCCAAGGCAAATGTTTTGAGAAATATTTTTTGTATGTTTGTTTTTTAATTTTTTTGTGGTTGTAGATGGACAGAATGCCTTTATTTTATTTTTTATTTTTTTATGTGGTGCTAAGGATCAAACCCAGTGCCTCACACATGCTAGGTAAGTGCTCTGCTACTGAGCTACATACAGCCCCAGCCCGAGAAACAGTTTTTAAAAACGACCAAATGCCCTCTAGATTTTAAAATGTTTTAACTTTTCATCCTTTTCCCCCCCTAAGTACTGAGGATCAAACCCAGTGCCTCCATTGAGCTATGCTCTCAGCTCAAAGTTTCATTTTGAAATAATTTTATTTTTATAAAAAGGTTGCAAAACTGGTATAAAGAATCCCATGTATCCATACCGAGATTTCTCCCTCTTTCTAAAAAAATTTTTTTTGGTCTTAGTTGTAGTTGGACACAATATCTTTATTTTATTTATTTATTTTTATGTGGTGCTGAAGATCAAACCCAGCACACCTAGCACATACTAGGCGAGCACTTTACTGCTAAGCCACAACCCCAGTGCCCCTCCCCTCCTTTTTTGGTACCAGGGATTGTACTCATCAGGGGCACTCAGCCACTGAGCCACATCTGCATCCCTATTTTGTATTTTATTTAGAGACAGGGTCTCAGTAAGTTGCTTAGTGCCTCGCTTTTGCTGAGGCTGCCTTTGAACTTGCGAGCAATCCTCCTGCCTCCACCTCCTGAGCTGCTGGGATTACAAGCGTGAACTACCACTCCTGGACAGATTTTTTTTCCATCTTAATGTCCTACGTAACCACAGTATAACTGTCAAAATCAGGAAATTAACAGAGGGAATTCCTTGGAAAACTGGGAATGGAACCACCATTTGACCCAGCTCTATCCCACTCCTTGGTCTATACCCAAAACACTTAGAAACAGCATACTACAGGGGCACAGTTACATCAATGTTTATAGCAGCACAATTCACAATAGCTAAACTGTGGAACCAACCTAGATGCCCTTCAATAGATGAATGAATAAAGAAAATGTGGTATATATACACAATAGAATATTACTCAGCAATGAAAGAGAATAAAATCATGGCATTTGCAGGTAAATGGATGAAGTTGGAGAATATAATGCTAAGTGAAGTAAGCCAATCCTAAAAAAACAAATGCTGAATGTTTTCTCCGCTATAAGGAGACTGATTCACAGTGGGGTTGGGAGCGGGAGCATGGGAAGATTAGACAAACTGTACATAGGGCAAAAAGGGGGAATAGGGCTGGGGTTGTGGCTCAGTGGTAGAGTGCTCGCCTAGCATGCACAAGGCATTGGGTTCAATCCTCAGCACCACATAAATGTAAAATAAAGATATTGTGTCCACCTAAAACCAAAAAATAAATTAAAAAGGGGGGGGGGGGGGGGCAAGGGGGTTAAAAAAAGATGGTGGAATGAGATGGACATCACTACCCTAAGTACATGTATGAAAAAGACATGAATGGTGTGAATATACTTTGCATACAAGTAGAGAGATGAAAAATTGTACTCTACATATGTAATGTGAATTGTAATACATTCTGCTGTCACATATAACAAAAACAATTTTTTTTTAAAATTAAAAAAAAATTTAAAAAAAAAGGTCCACTATTTTTGTGTGTGTGTGTGTGGGGGGGGGAGGGGACAGGGAGAGGTTGCTGGGGGCTGAACCCAGGACCTTGAGTACACTATGTCTACTAATGTTTTAATGAGAAAGAGCCCAAAACAAAAATAAAACAATTTAACCAAAATTATTACCATTTCTTTTTTGTTTGTTTATTTTGCAGTAATGAGGACTGAACCCAGAGCCTTTTGAATGGTAGGCAAGCAATCTACCACTGAGCTACAACCCTAGCTCACCACCACTGAGTACTGAACACAAACGTGCTTTATAACTGAGCTATCCCCATCCCATTTTTTGAGACAGGGTCCTACTAAGTTGCTGAGGCTGGCCTCAAGCTTACAATTATCCTGCCTCAGCCTCTTGAGTTGTTGGAATTGCAGATGTGTTCCACTGTACACTTGGATCACCAGCATAACTTAGCATTCAATGTCTGACTGGGCATGGTAGCACACACCTATAATTCTAGCAACTTGGAAAGCTGAAGCAAGAGGATTACAAGTTCTAGCCTAGCCTCAGCAACTTAGCAAGACCCTGTCTTAAAATTGAAAAAAAAAAAAAAAAAGGTGGGGCAATGGCTGGGGATTTAGTTCAGGTGCAAATCACCCGAGTTCAGTCTGTAGCACCAAACAAACAAAAAGATTCAATGCCTGAGTTACTAAGTTGCAAGACAAGGAACAACTTATATTACCTGCTGCCAAAGAAATTTATAGTAGGCTTTAAGTTTTCTATTTTTAAGGTGATAAGAAGAAAATTATGAGTCCCTAGATTCTAAAATCAGAGTTCCTCCTTTATTCTTCATTTCTACATATAACATGCAATATATAGATTTAATTTGGTATCAATTTTAAATTGTTACTAAGTTTAAATGTTTTTAACTGATGTAGTAAATTCATGGCATGTGGAGCTTTTTGTTTGTTTTTTCTGCATTACGGGTGAGCAAACCCACCTCATGCATCCTAGACAAATGTTCTACCACTGAGCTACATCCTCAGCCCAGGCATATATCTTAAAATCGATGGATTTGTAAAACGTAGAAAAGAGAGAAAGAAATATTCACTGTTGCAAGATTAGAATAGAGAAAAAAATGTTCATAGCACTGGTGCAGCAAAATGTAATCAATACTCAGAAATTTGAGATTTTTAAAAAACTGAGTTTTGGTTATCTCTATGCATACAATATGACTTCAGTACTCACTTCACTTTATATGTGAAACAAATCAAGGACTTTTTGAGAAACTTACTGAAAAATCCAAGGTACAAGTTCTTGGGTAGCCAGGAAGACCTGGGCTAAAACGCCAAATGGTCTCCAAATGATTGAAAAGTTTCCCATCAGTACAGGATGCCTAGAATAAGACAAAAACAAAACAAAACAAAACAAACAAACAAACAAACAAACTACAGTTAAGTACCTTTTGGATTAATAAGAATCTACCATTTTTTTTTCCAAAGAAAAAAATCTGATTTTTATAGGTCAGACCACAGGAGATGAAGATATTTAACAGCTTGATGCTAGGAAGGAACTTTTTAACCAAAATTAGTTATTTTCTTTTCTTTCAGAATCCCCAAGACTGCCAGTTTTTCTTTATTTCACAGCTATTACCCACTATACTACTTAGATTTCTCTCCTCTGGCAATAGAACAGGGAGTGATATTTTTGGAAGCTTATTTCCAGATCTACCACTTAAAAGGGATCCTGAAAAAGCTAAACTCTTGTACCATATTTCCTTGAAATGTAAAATAATACCTGCTATATACCATTTCTACGAGATGGCAAAAATGGTTATAAGGTACCTGGTACAGTTAGAACAATTCTATAATTCTCTATTACCCAAATTTCTTTTGTTAATCATATTTAGTCTTTCCTCTTCTTCTTCTTCATTATTATTATTATTATTATTATTGGTGGTATTGAGGATTTAACTCAGGGTTGCTCTATACCAATGAGTCATATCTCCAGTGCCTTTTTAATTTTTAAAAAATTCTTAATTTTTTAGTTGTAGATGGACACAATGTATGTATGTATGTATGTATGTATGTATTTTTATGTGGTGCTGAATATCAAACCAAGTTCCTCACACATGCAAGGCAGGCGCTCTACCACTGAGCTAGAGCCTCAGCCCTCCCCAGCTCCTTTGACACAGGGTCTTACTAAATTGCCAGGCTGACCTCAAACTTGCAATAATCCTGCCTCAGTCTCCTGTGTAGCTGGGATTACAATATTGTGCCACCCCAACCAGTTCAGCTTTTTTACCTAAAACCCTCAGATGTTATTGGGCATTATTACACTAGTAAACAATTGACTTCAAGAATACCTATCACTTTCTTTTAGCAGCAGACTGTTTCCAAGTGTACAACTTCCTCCTCAGCTCTTTAGGCATATCCTGAAGTCAATAATCAAGCCTCTTTATCCCTTTTTCTTTGGTGATAGATTCCCCTCAAGAGTTTAGAAAGCCCTTCCCCTAAGGCTATAATCACTACAAAACACACTAGCAAAATCGGGACTTGCATAGATAAAAAATACTTGGAGGAAAAACAGTTTTACTTTTTCTTTCCCAGTTGTAGCCCCTCTGAACAAAGAACACAGGACCATTTCTTTGACTAAATTCTGCATTTCTCCATAGATATTGGAGCCAAAGCAGAAATTCTTTTGCAGTTTCTAACTTTCTCTTCACCTACACACTCTTGAATGAATTATCATCATGAATTACCAGCCAGTAACACGGTAAAATTATTATTAAAAAGATCAATAGCACCCAAGCTAAAAAAGCATTTATGTGCTCCATTCACATGTTTATAAAAAGAAATGATAACATTATTTTAACTTGAAAAGTGGAAACCAGTGAATGTTAAAAATTCATATAGGGTTAGGGATCTAGCTCAGTGGTAAAGTACTTGCTCAGAATACATAAGGCCCTGTGTTCAACCTCCAGCACTGGGAAAAAAAAAAAAGGAAAGAAAAAAATTAATTTTGACATATTAACATAATAATAATTAAAATACTATTAACTAATAAGTGAATTATGCTAAGTCACTGGAGAGAAGTAAATTTTTAGCCATACATGTATAGTTCAATAACTGCCAACTCTCTAATTTTTAATACCAGTAAGTATCTACAATGAATGGTGGCATATATGTGTAGTCCCAGTTACTGGGGGGGCTGAGGCAGGAGTTCAAGGCTACTTGAGCAACACAGCAAATTCCTGTCTCAAAAAAAAAAAAAAAAAAAAAAATGGGGCTGGGGTTGTGGCTCAGTGGTAAAGTGCTTGCCTAGCAGTGTGAGGCCCTGGGTTCGATCCTCAGCACTACATATGAATAAATAAATAAAGTTAAAAATCCATTGGCAACTAAAAAAATTTTTTAAAAAAACTATAATGAAATCTTATTATTTCAGTAATTTAAGTTTAAGATAATACATTTTGGCTGGGCATGGTGGTGCACGCCTATAATCCTAGCTACTCAGGACATGAGACAGAAGGATGCCAAGTTCAAGGTAAGCCTGTGCAACTCAGTGAGACCCTGTTTCAAAATAAAAAGGGCTGAGGAAGTAGCTCAGTGGTAAAGCTCTCCTGGTTTCAATCCCCAGTACAGCAAAAAAACAGAAAAGATAACACATTTTGCCCTTCTTTATAATCACATAAGAAGCTTACAGGAAACTTAACACTGAAGGAAAAACAGCTGTTGGAAATACTCACTATAACACCTCCCCCTCTGACTATTTTTATACAAAATATGGCAGTGTGCACTCACACCAATGATGTAGTCCAAGGACACATGGATTTTTACTGGTATTTTTTCACATGAATGATATTACCAAAGACCTTATCCCTAAGAGCAGAGATATTTAACACAGATGCACCTGTTATTATAATGACCTTCTACTGGTTGTTCAAAGTAAATTGACCAAGTCTGTCAAATACTCTAACCCAAACAAAATTTTTATATTGTAAACCAGGAAGTAAGATTATTTGAAATGTTTGTTGTCCCTGTTAAATCTGAAAACTTCCAAGGGCTTGTGACCATTATAGATTCATGTAGATTAGAATTACTGACATACTAAGTGATAGGCACATTTTAGTAAGTTAATAATTCATAGATATGTAACATGGCTTCTGTTGTTCCCTTGTTATAATGATTATTACTATATGTTACAAATATGTATTAGGTATTAAAATCTAACACCTGAACTGAAGGATAACTGAAAGCTAAGCACACACAATTCTGGGTTATTCTCAAGTATATCTTTGAAAATAAACTTGTATATAAAGTGACACAGCTTTTTATAATGGAAAAGTGTTTGGAATACAGTGTAATTCTTTTTTTTTTTTTTTTTTTGGTACTGAAGGTTGAATCAAAGGGCACTTTAAAACTGAGTGTTGGTCTGGGGATACAGTTCAGTTGGTAGAGTGCTTCCCTACCATGCACAAGGCCATGTGTTAAAAAAACAAAACAACAACAAAAAAAAAACAAACTGAGTGTCATCCCCACCTCTTTTATTTTTAGTTGTAGGTGGACACAATACGTTTATTTTATTTGTTTGTTTTTATGTGGTACCAGGGATCAAACCCAGTGCCTCACACATGCTAGGCAAGCGATCTTACCACTGAGCCACAACCCTGGCCCCATCCTCAACTCTTTGAGACAGAGTCTTGCTAAGTTGTTCAGTTTGGCCTCAAAGTTGTGATCCTCCTGCCGCAGCCTCCTGAGTTGTATGCAACTGTGCCCAGCTACAGTGTGAATTTTTTTAGGGTTATTAATCTCCTTAAGCTTCATAAAAGTTAGATAGCAATGATCATATAGGTTATTATGAAAATTTTTAAAAATCCATTCTCCTCAGATGTGCTGAAAATAACAGATGATTATGAACATCTCTGATCTTCAGGAGTCCAAGAATACAGGTAGTGATAGCTTCATATGAAAGGACTGATTGCCATAGTGTTTGTGCTGAGGACACAGAGAGGAAAAAGACAGTGTCCCTTGGGGCTGGGGTTGTGGCTCAGTGGCAGAGTGCTTGCTTAGCATGTGTGAGGCACTGGGTTCGATTATCAGCACTGCATATAAATGATTAAAACAAAGATTCATTGACAACTAAAAATAGAATCCCTTCCCTCAAGTTCTTCAATCTTGTCCAAAAAATCCAGTGGAAAAAATATGACAGAGAAATAAAGTACATACAAAGCCCAGAAGAATCACTGAGGTAGGACTGATGATTTACATGAAAAGAAAGGGAGCATATAACACTAGACAGCTGGAATTTGAAGGATTAATAGGCAAGGAGAGAAGTACATTGCAGGTAGAGGAGTGAACAATATGCCAAAACACATGGCTGTGGAACAAGTACTATTTGGTGCAATCATGGAACTTTAAGATATGTGGTATACCTGAAAATTAAGGGGAGGGGGCCCCCGTGCAATGATAAAGAGATTGACTTTATCCTGTATATTTTAAGAAGCCAGAGAAGGTAAGAAAGTCAGAGGATAGAGTGGTTAGGTTTGTTTTTTTTTTTTTTTTTTTTAAGAGTTCTTTATTTAGATGCTGCATAAAATATTAACATTTAAGTTATAAGAGCTTGAAATGGTAAGAGATTGAGGTCAGAGAACAATAAAAATTTAAGATTATAATTCACCGATTTTGGACAAACTAAAGTGTTAGCTCTTTGACTCTAGGCAAGTTATCTAACTCTTCCAAGCCTTAATTTGCTCTAGGAGATAAGGAATAATAAGATTTGACCCTCAAAAGGCTGTTGTAAGAATTAAAAGAGCAATTAAAGCATTAAGAGCTCAGTAAAGGGGCTGGGGCTGGGGCTCAGTGGTAGTGCACTTGCCTGGCATGTGTGAGGCACTGGGTTCGATCCTCAGCACCACACAAAAATAAAAGTATTGTGTCCATCCACAACTAAAAAAAAAATATTAAAAAAAAATTAAAATAAAATAAAAGGCCATTAGCTAGGCACAGTGACATATGCCTGTAATCCCAGCTACTTAGGAGGCTGAAGCAGGCAGAAAACAAGTTCAAAGCCAGTGTGGGTGACCAGGGGACCCTGTCTGAAAAATAAAACATAAAAAGAGTTGGAGTGTAGCTCAGTGGTAGAGCACTCCTGGGTTCTGAAAAACAGAAAAAAAAAAAAAGCTTTGGCCAGTACAAGGTAAGAATTTGAAAGAAATGAAGTATTACTCCATGGAATTCTCCATTTTTTTATTTTTTAAGTCTAGGTTTCTTTTTTTTTTTTCCCCCAAGTGTATCCTTCTCTGAAAAGGGTAAGATGATTAGTACAAGGTAACAGGAGCTGGCATTTCAATTCCTGTTACATGGCAGGAGGACCTCAACAATGTTAATATTCCCCACATTTGTATCTTTTCTACCTTTCCTCATCTTCTACCACTTTTCATTCTTTAACTTTAAAAAAAAAATACTTATTAAAATTTCCCCCAGTATTCAAAATATATATTTTTAAATAGTACAAAGATTAAATTAAAATATTTCTCACTTGTATAACCCAAGTGATCTTTCCTAAGTGGTTAGACCTCAACAGAAAAAAGAAAAAAAAAAAAAAAAAGGAAAAGGATAATGCTAACATTGCATATAAAATAGCACAATTAGGAGATAAAATAAATGGTTCATTACCTCTCCTCCTGGTTTAGAGACACCCTTTTATGCTTTAAGACATTAAACTATTTGGTATTGTTTGGGGAAACAGAAAAAAACAAACAAACAAAAAACAGAGCTATTACCTTTACCAAATGTGGTTTCACCAAGGTTACTACTGATGTGTATCGCTCCAGCACAGGTGGAAATCCAATTTCTAATCGTGTTTTACAATATCCAGATCTCTTTGATATTATATCTGATTTTTTGCACCAAGGAACGAAATGCTTGTAATCCTCCATTTCTGATACTACATCATACATTTCCTGCATCGAATATCTTTTAAAAATAGATGAGGGGTGTTAACTGCTTATTATATATGATATACGTACATTTAAAATTGAACATGAAAAAACTTACTCATAAATAATTTTTCACGTATGTTGAACCATACTATAGAATGAATGACTTCAAAACACAGAAATTAGAAGGGCTCTACATAGACACATACAGCAGAGGTCACAATATAGTGGCTCATAGGTTGAATTTGGCTGTAGATGTGGTTTTTCAATTTTTCACTAGTTGCCAGTACTTAAAAACTCAGACTTTATAGTAAAACAACAACAACAAAACTTTAAAATTGAAAAGTCTTGCAGCCACTATATCCACATCGTTGCATAATATGAACTGGTCTGAGATGACTAATAATCCCTTACTGGAGCCAGGAATTTCACTTTCAGCAATTTAACACTCAAAAATAATGTACAAAACAAAGATGTTTACTTCAATATTGATGTGAAAGGGTGGAAAAAAATGGAAGCAACCCAAATCTTTGTCAGTACATAGATATCAACAAATGTTTAATAAATCATGCTAGGTAAGGTAGTGTATGGCTATAATCCCAGCTACTCAGGAGGCTGAAGTAGAAGGATCACAAGTTTGAGGTAGGCTTGGGCAACTTAGTAAGACCCTGTCTCAAAATAAAATTTAAAAAGGGGATGGGAATATACAGCTCAGTGGTTGAGCACTTGCATTGCATGTGCAAGGCCCAGGGTTCAATTCCCAATACTGCTAAGTTAGTAAGTAAAAAAACAAAAAAGTAAATGTTTAATGAATCATAATAAAAGATTACTATGGGACTCTATACTGGTTGCTTTAAAATTTTGGTCAAATATATATTTTAAGGCACAGTTTACAGCATGTTATTAATGAGAAAAGCACATTATAAAGCAAAATATCTACAACTAACAAAAAAGTATACAAATACACTGTGTTCCTCAATTTAAACTTACTTGATATTTGTTTTTTCCTAAAAATAACTGTCAATAGTTGTCAAATGAATACATTTAAAAAGTGCTGGAAGGATATAACAATTAACATCAACTCAGAGAAAAAAAGGAAGGTTAAAATAGACCAATTCCTTAGACTATATGCTTCCATGTTATTATTTTTATATAACCAGGTAATACTGTTGCAATTTTAGAAAGAAAAATGAACTATTTTAGAATACCCCCCCCCCCCAAAAAAAAGCCTATTGTTTAGTTCTTGTTGTTTTTGTTTAGAGTAATGGGTATTAAATCCAAGGGCACTTTACTACTGAGCTATACTCTAGTCTTTGAAATTTTGAGATTGGGTCATGCTAATTTGCTCAGGCTGGCCTCCTGCCTCAGTCTCCCAGGTAGCTGGGATTATAGGCATGCAATACCACTTCTGGCTCCTGTTCTTTTTATGAATCAGCATAACCTCCTAATACCAAAAGCTAATAAAAGAGCATGAAAAGAAAATTACATACCAACATCCCTTATAAGTAGTGAGGCAAACACTCCGAAGAAAAATATCAACAAACAGAATCCGAAATATATTATAAAGATATAATGATCAAATGCAACTAATTGAGGGATATATGAATAATATAAAGAATTTTACAATTATAATCACATTCATTGCAAAAAAGGAAAAACTATATGATTAATTCCATAGATCATAAAATACCCAAAGCAAGTCTATTAGAGTAAGAAATAATACAGAGATGCTACATTATGTACCACTGTTCTGAAAATATTAGCTAAAACATCCAATCAGAGCATGAAATATAAAGCATATGTGCTGAAAAATTAACCAAATTTATCGACTGGTAGATGATACAAACATCAGTTCAGAAGAAGCAATTCAAAATTTAGTAAGGTGGCCTGTTAGGAAATAATTAGAAACCAATAGCTTTCCTATATTAACCAAAACCAGTTAGAAAACACTAGCATAGCAATAGAAAATATGTAGAAATAAATTTTACAAAAATATCTCAGGGCTTAAATAAAAAAACAAACAGCAAAACTCCATTGTCACATATAAAATACAACCTGAATAATAAGCCAGATATATAGTACTTTTGCTTATAAAGACTCAACACTGTTAATATATGATTCACCCCAAAATGATATAGTAATTTAAAAAATCACAACCTAAATCACAAAAAAAGTGTTTTTGGAAGCAACCGAATTTAAGCCTTTCTTTGTTTAAACTCTCTTGAGAATTGCCAAAAATATAACATACAGAAACGCAGGTCATAAATTATTTTCATTTTATGTCAAGGCTTAAATCTGTCTTATAATCACTCAATAACAAATATTTATAAAACTGCAAGGGGCAATGGAAAAATCAATATAAAAAAGCAGTTTAGTCTAAGAAAATAATTTGGAAGAAAGAGGCACAATACTTTATAAAAAAAACTGTGAATGTGTTCTTTTAGTAGAATTATTATTATATACAAACCCTATAATTCTTCTCTCTGAATATTCTTTTCTTTTGTTTATTAAGGGTGAAGCAATTTTGAAGAAAGTTCTTGAATATATCTCCTTAGGCAAAACTGAGTTATGTAGTGGAAGAGTTCTGCTCATCAGTATACCACAGGAAGCTAAATATCTAAAAAGACAAAAATCATCCAATTTAGATTGACAGTAAAAATTAAGAGGAAGCACAAATTATAGAGACTGTAAAAAGTTATCATATTTCTTAAGACTTTGTAATTTTAGAGTAAAAAAACGATACACACACACACACACACACACACACACACGCACACAGAGGCATAGATAAAAATAAATCTTTGTTTTTCTACTGGGGATCCAAGGGAGCTTTACCACTGAACATCATCCCTAGTCCTTTTCTGCTTATTTTTGAGACAGGGTCTTGCTAAGTTGTTGTTCCATACTCCTGCTTCAGCCTCTCCAGTCACTGAAGTTACAGGCATGTGCCACTATTGCCTGGCTGCCTCGACCAGCGTGGCCAAACTAGCAGGTTCCTGCGAGGGGCAATGGGAGAATGGAAGAAATAGAGTCAACAAATGCAGATCTTGAAGATAAAGCTGGAGATGGATGAAGCGCTACTCTCTGATGGAGAAGCAGGTCTAAAGAATTACACCAGCAATCTTTATTATACATTTATATCTCTCTAAATCAGATTAAAGACTATGCAAGCATTATTCTTTGTATTCATGAAAGTTAGAGTTAGCAACAGTATGTGGCTATTTCCTTGTTACTGTGCAATGTTAGGAGCATTGTGCAGCTCTCAAGAAAGTGCACTGTTTAAAGTTACTAATTCCGGGCAGATTCAGGGGCAGTGGAACTGGTGAAACATTGTGGTTATCTTAGCAAGGAAGTTCCTTCATTCCCAGGAGCTGCTATACCTGGGAATAAGGCAGAGGCTGATAAAACTCTAGCATGGAAGACATCTCCATAGCAACTGGGCATCCTATGCCTTTGCACAGAAACTTTCTCAGTCATCAAGTATGTCACAGTCATGAAGTCCTCAGGGGACCCCAATCTCAGACACTGGTCTCCCAGACACTGTCACTGATTTCCACACCTGGCCAGAAAAATAAAGCTTCTTAAGCACCATTAAGAAAACTAAAAATAGCTGGGACACCAGGCTCACACCTGTAACCCCAGCCACTTGCGAGGCTGGGGCAGGAGGATCACAAGTTTGAGGCTAGTCTCAACAACTCAGTGAAGTCCTTATGCAACTTAGTAAGACCCTGTCTCAAAACATAAAGAGGGGTGGGAATGTGGCTCATTGGTTAAGCACCCATGGGTTCAATCCCAAGTACAAAAAAAGAAAGAAAAGAAAACCAAAAACAACAGCTTTAAAGTTAGATTAGAAACTTCTGGCACAAAAAGTATCTCTTTCCAGAAAAGAAATATCTTGTTCACCTAGCTATTTTAACTTTCCCTAATATGAATATCGCACATCTATTATATACTACTTATATACTACTTATATATTCATTATCAATTCACATACTTACTGAGATCCTATTCTGTTAGACTGTAGTAGTCACTAAGGATTTGATGGTAAAAGAACAAATAAGAACCTTATGAAGATTATATTCTAGTTGAGGATTCAAAACAAGTACCAGAAAAGAGCTGAGCATGCGTTGTACACCTGTAGTCCCAGCTACTCAGGAGGTGGAGATCAAAAGATTATTTGAGCCCCAAAGTTTGAGACCAGCCTGAGCCACACAGTGAGACCCCAAGACCCCATCTCCAAAAACGAAAAGGAAAAAAAAAAGTACTAGAAAAGAAAGCGGGGTAGAGGGCCAGGGTTGTGGCCCAGTGGTAGAGCACTTGCTGAGTATACATGAGACACTGGGTTCAATCCTCGCACCACACAAAATAAACAAAATAAAGATATTGTGTTCATCTACAACTAAAAAATTATCAGAAAGAAAAAGAAAGTGGTAGAGACATCTAATGAGCACCTCAGGACCTCCTCTGGACAGGGTAACCTAGGAAGCCCTCTGAAGTTCTATTTCAGCTAAGATAGAATACAAAAGGAGTTTGCAGAGAAAGAAAAGAGGTAATTTGGTACATAATAAATGTGTGTACAAATATGAATATGCAAAGGTATTTTCCTGTGTGTGTGTGTGTGTGTATGGGGGGGGGAGGGATAGGTAACACTACTATAGCATTCTGGGCTACAGGGAAAGAGTTTGGCAGTGTCAAGAGTTGAAAAGAGACTAATCCTTTAGAAGCAGTATGGATGCCAAGAGAGTAGCAAGAAATAATTTTGGAGACAGTAGTTGGATCATGGTGCATATTGCTGGCCAAGAAAAAGCAATTTACAAAAAACTGAAAAAAATTTTTGAGGAAAGGGTTCCTGGGGATTGAACCCAGGGACTTTACCACTGAGCTAAACCCACCATACCTGGATGAAATTTTTCTTAATGAGAAGCTGTTGAAGAGCTTCAAGTATGAGAGTGATATTTCAATGGGCACAGTGGCATACAACTGTAATCCCAGCAACTCAGGAGGCTGGGGCAGGAAGATTGCAAGTTCAAGGTTAGCCTGGGCAATTTAGTCTCAAAATAAAAATTATAAGGTCTGGACATGGGGCAGGGGTTGTGACTCAGCAGTAAAGTGCTCGCCTAGTACATGCGAGGCCCTGGGTTCAACCCTCAGCACCACATAAAAATAAATAAAATAAAGGTATATAAAAATGAAGGGCTGGACATGTACTTCTGTGATAAAATGACCCTGTATTAAATCCCAGTACCAGCAGAGGAGGAAAAAAAGTGATATTTCATTAAATCAAATCTTTAAATTACTATTATTATTATTTTTGGTACCAGGGATTGAACCCAGGGGCACTTAACCAATGAGCCATATCCGCAGCCCTTTTTTATTTTTTGAGACAGGGTTTCACTAAGTTTCTTAGGCCTCTCTAAATTGCTGAGGCTGGCTTTGAACTTGCAATCCTTCTGTCTTGGCCTCACGAGCCTCTGGGAATACAGGCATGCACCACCATGCCTGGCAAATTACTTTTTAAAAAGGGAAATAGGGTAGCTGTTATGGCTTTAGATATGAAGTGTCACCCAAATGCTCCCGTTATTAATGCAGGGATATTTGGAGATGAAACGACCAGATTATGAGAGCTATAACCTGATTAGTTATTCCTAGTTTGACAGGACTGACTTGATGGGAACTGTGGGCAGGTGGGGCATGATTGGAGGAAGTGGTCCACCAGGGGTGTGCCCGGAAGGATTCATCTTCACTGCAGCCCCTTCCCCCTTCCCTTTCTCTGCTTCCTGATACTGCCACGAGCTGAGGAGTTTTTCTCCACAGGGTCTTTTGGCCATGATGTTCCACACCTCACTGTGGGCCCAGAGCAGTGGACTCTACTAACCATAGAACTATGAGGCAAAATTAACTTTTCCACCTCTTAAGTGTTCTTGTTGGGTGTTCTTGTCACAGTTATGCAAAGTCAGCTAAAACAGAAATTGATAAAGAGTGAGGATGTTACTCTGATTAACTTGATCATGTGATTCAGAAGCAGTTGGAAATTATTTGTGGGAGGAGTTTTGAAAAGTTTGGTGATGCAGGCTGGAAAAACCCTAGAATGTTGTAGCAAAGCTTTTTAATTTTTATTTTATTTCATTTTTTTGGTACCAGGGATTGAACCTGGGGAACTTAATCAATGAACCACATCTCCAGCCCTTTTTGGTTTTTATTTTGAGACAGGGTCTTGCTAAGTTGCTGAGGCTGGCTTTGTACTTATGATCTTCCTACATCAACCTACTAAGCTACCAGGATTACAGGCATGCACCATCATACCTAGCTGCAGTGGAGCTTAATGAGCAATTCTGGTGGGAACTCAGAAAACTAGAATGCCAACAGAATTAAGAACTGTGCTCAAAAAAATAAAAAGAAAAAGAACAACAAAAACTATTTAAAAAAGAAAAAAAAAAAACCCAAAACAAACAAAAAAAGGACTGTGCTCATGAGATTTCAGAGGGGAACAAGTACTCTTCTAGGAATGCAATTGGAGACCACTTACGTTATACTCTGGCAAGACTTGCCTACATACTGCCCATGTCCTAAGACTTTCGGTGAAGCTGGAGTTAACGGTAATAGGACTAATTTGCAGAAGAAATGTCAAAGCAGCACAGCATTCAGGAGATGGCATGGATATTGCTATCAGTTTTTAGACAGGTATGCTGTGAGAATCAGGAACAGAAAGCAGAGCTGATGGGCTGGTGATGTAGTTCGGTGGTAGAGTGATTCCTTAGCATGTGTGGGCTCTGGTTTTGATCCCCGGAAAAACACACACACACACACACAGAGGAAGGAAAACAAGGCAGAGTTGAAGATTTCGAAAACTTGCAGAAAAAACTTTCAGTTATACCAGAAAAATACTTAGATACCTAGGACCAAGGATGATATATGGTTGTTAACAAGATTACAGCCACTAGGGTGTTAAGTACTTCACCGAGACAATAGAAAAGGTGGCTTGAGGGCATCTTAGAAATTTGCAAGACCACACCCACTATAGGCTCCATAGTATAGAAGGTAAAATTCCTTTGACAAGATATCATGGGGTGCCCAACATATACAAAGGAGCCTAGCAAGGTGTTTCACCCTGTTCAGCTACCCAGACACTGAGAGACCATAGAGCCATAATTTCAGAGGGCCCAGCTCTTGAGCAAGCTTCAGCAGACCTTGGTGTCATCACATGGTGCTAGTTCTACAGGAATACAAGATGCTGGAGTTGTGGGGTTATAAGGTTTCCACTATAATTTTAAAAGAAGGGTTGAGAGGCCAGGCAAAGTACAGTAGTGATAAGGGGCAGGCTGATGCAACTGATGGAAACATGAGGTTAAGAGAAGAATTCTATAATATGTGCCCACTATGCTGACCCTTACATGCCGTCTTTTCTTTTCTTTTTTTTTTTTTTTTTGGTACCGGAGATTGAACTCAGGGGTACCCAACCACTGAGCCACATCCCTAGCCCTATTTTGTATTTTATTTAGAGACAGGGGTCTCACTGAGTTGCTTAGTGCCTTGCCATTGCTGAGGCTGGCTTTGAACTCTCGATTCTCCTGTGAGCCTTCCAAGGCCCTGGGATTACAGGCGTGTACTTCCATGCCC